GTCCGCGCGCGCGCCCGGGGACGGCGCCCGGAGCTGGACCCCAGCCGCCGCGACCCCTGGCGCCTGGCGGTGCGCGGGAGGTGAGTGAGGGCCGGGCCCCGACGTGGGATCCGGGCTACCCTTAGGGCGCGCCGCCCCTCCCTTCCCCCTCCCCGATCCAGTTCCCGTTTCCGAAACTGAGAAACTGAGCCGCGGCCAGCGAAAGTCCCGTCGCGCTCCGAGACCCGCCGGTGCCTCCGTCCCCCGTCCGTCGGTCTGTCCCTCCGTTCAGCCGTAGGGGTCGAGGCCCTCTCGTCGGTCTGCTCCCGGCCCCTCCACCCGCGTGTGTGCCCTAGACCCTCGGAGCGTTCGCCCGTCCCTCGCGAATCCCCGGGGCCCTCGGTCGGTCCATCTGACCCCACCCCCTCTATGTTCCCGCGTCCGCGTCTTTCTAGTTCGGATCGGTCAGTCCGTAGCCCTCCGCGTGCCCCACCCCCACCGCACCTCCCGCCGCCCCCTGGATCCTGTCCTCCCGGAGCCGCGCCCCCGGCCCACGCTCGTCGCCCCCTGCCGGTCCCGCCGCCTCTCCTTTTCTACTGCGGACGGGAGGCCGGCCCCCCGCCCGGCCTCGCCTCCCGCCCCCCGCCCCTGGGTCCCTGCCGGGCCCAGCCCGCGCGGCGCCTCCTCCTAGCTCTCTCTCTTCTTTCAGTCTGGGTGTCTCTCTCTGCCTTTCTCCATCTGTCTCCGGCCTGGGCGTGGCTCCAGTCTCCACCATACCCCCTCTTACCGCCCCGCCCTTACGCCCCTCTGAGTCCCCTCCCCTGGTGGCCCCTTCCAGGTCCCATCGGTCCTGGCCCCTCCGCAATCCAGACGCCACCCCCGCGTGGGGGCCCGGCCAGGTGAGGGGAGAGGGTGGAGGAGAGCGGGAGTGAAGGGGCAGGAGGTGGACACCGTCAGAACTGGCACACTTCTCTGACTGTCCCATTTGTCCTCGCCTGGGAGGGTAGAACCCCACTGAGCCCCTCCACTTCCACCTGGTCAAAAGGATTTGGTGGGGTGGGGGCGTCCCCTTCTCTGATCCCTACCCTGTATGGTTGGACTTGACTGCTTGTGCTGAGTCGCCTGTATCTGAGCACGTAGGTGTGTTATGTATCTGTGTCTCCATGTGTGTTCTTTGTCACTGTGTCTGTGGTCCTTTTCCACATGGTGTGACTTGCCTGTGTGTGCGTGTGTATGTCTGGGTGTCCTGAGGCTTTGTGTGCCCTTTGCACCTATGCATGTCTTCGTGTGTTCTTTGTCACCAGACTGCCCTCTGTGTGTTGGTATGTGTATGTATCTTTGTGTGCCTGTGTGTCCCTTGTGTGTCTGGAGGGTCCTGTGTTGCACACTGGTTTGTGTCATGGTGACCCACTGGCCATATACATTTGAGCTGTTAATTTTGGGAGCCAGTGGTGTTGGAGTGTCAGCCCACCATGCTCTTGTGTGTGTATGAGTGTGGGTGTGAATGCACACTCACTTGTTCTTCCTCTCCCACTGCCACGGAGCTGCTGTGACCAGGCTGACCTGGTCACTGAGGGAGGGGACGGGTCCCTTGAGTTTCCTTGTTCCTGCTGTGGACTGAGTTGGGGTGTGGTGGACAGGCCAGTAGAGGGCAGCTCTGTGTGTGTGTGTATGTGTGTGTGTGTGTGCGTGTGTGCGTGCGCACGCCATGTCGAAGTGTTTGGACAGCTGTACCTGCGATAGGGTGATGTAAGGGATCTGGTGTGTTCCGAACTGTGGCTGGGATGAGACTGGCAGGGGTGTGACTGGTGGGAGACTCACAGTCTGACTGTATGAAACTGCCCGTCTGGGTCCTAGGGAGCCCCTGTGATTGTGGGGAACCGGGAGTGTGGTGCCTGCATCCCGGGGTGACACTGCTGGGGGGGACGGTGAGAGCCCCAGTGTGTGAGAGCATGTGGGAGGCTGTGAGGGTGTTGGTGCACGCGGCTCCGCAAGCCCAGCCCTAGTTCTGGGGGAGGCTGGGGAAGGCCCCCATCTCTCACTCCCCCAAGCTGAGGGATACCGCAGGGCAAGTCTTTGGGTTTGCAGTGTTGTGACCAAGACCCAGGGCTCTGGACCCAGGAAAGATGTGGGCTCAAATACTCGCTGTGCCTCTTATGGCCAAGGGACTGGAGCTAGGCTTCTCTAAGGCTGCGTCTCCTTATCTGCAGAACAGAAAAAGTTGCTGTGAGGACTCAAGGTCCTATGTCAGTGGGCCTCTAGCACGGGCTTGGCCCACAGGCAGAGCTTAGCACATGCTAAGTCTCACTTGGTGACCACTCACTCCCGCCCCCAACTGTATGGTCCCCATTCTCTGTGGAGCTGGGCTAATAAAAGCCCAGATAGTCCCCAACCCAGTTTCCTGGCTGTGATGTGTCTGTTGCCCATCCCGTGCCCTTGACCAGACTGCTTGCAGGAGGGCAGATGGCTGGCAGAGACCCCGTGAACCCTGTTCAGCCCACTTGACGCCTGCCCAGTCTCAGCAGCACTGATCAGGGAGATAGGGCTGGGGGGTGATTTGGAGCTTGGCTGCAGGCTACTGACACCGTTTAGCTGCCACAGCTAATTGGAGTTTAAATTAAAATTAGGAATAATGTACAGACAGGCCTGAGGGTGCCTCATTCCCCAGGGAGTGGTGATGGGGGTCTTCAGCTGGAGGAGGAGCTCCCATCTGGGGAGGGGAATCTTTTGTGGAGGCCTGGCCTGGCCTGCAGGAAAAGTGCTCAGGTCTTTCAGCCAGGAGACCTGGGATACCTTGCTGCCTTTGCCATTCCTTCCTTCTAGGATCTTTCTGAGCCTCAGTTTTTTCGGGTATATAACGGGCCCAATATTAATGGGAGAATCACCTGGACTAGGAGGTGCAAAACAAGGAATAAGAAAGTGTCCCTGTTCATTCGGTACTCCCAATGTGAGTCCAGCACGGGGCCTGTCAGGCCACGTCACTGGGGCCTCAGAACTACCTGGGGAGATGTAGTCTCCTCATTTTGAAGATAAGACAAACAGAGGCTCAGAGAAATTGCCCTAGACCACAGAGCAGGGGCCCCCACTGCCACGAGGTCTCCTAAGTCACAGGGCGACCTCTTGCAGACAGAGATTAGGAAGAGCTTCTTGGTACATCTGTAGTCTGGAAATGCTCCGGGGGCTGAGACACAGTGATCCAACCCCTAGCATGGAGAGGACACATAGCCGGTGCCTTGGAAAAGTTGGGCCCAACACCCCATTTCACAGAAGAGAAAGCTGAGTCCAAAGAGGCCGAGGTCTCTGAGCCAGACTGGGCCAACTGATGGGGAGAGCCTGTTTGGGCTCCCACCTCAGCTGCTTCTTCTCATTCCTGCAGGTCTGCCTGGAACTGGCCCAGGTGAGGGCTGCAGGCCTACCTCCGGTGGTGGCTGTGTGGCCTGCGGCAGGCTCCAGGACTGAGGGCAAGGGGGAGCCAGGAGCCCCAGGTAAGACCGGATCCTCCTGGACAGATGGACATATGGACAGTGTGCATGGGGCGGCCCTCCTCTTTGGGCTCCTCCCCTTCTGCTGGGGGTAGGGGCTGGGTTGGGCGGGGGGAGGGTCCCACAAAGTCCTCGGGCTGGGTGTGGGGCCTGGGTGCCCGGAGGGGGCAGCACTTTGCCTGGCCTATGAGGGCTCCCTGCCTTGGAGCTCAGGGGCCTGGGCCTGCCAGCAGTTTGGGGTGAGGAGTGGTGCCACTTGGCTGGTTAGTTAGAAAGACGGTGATGTATGTGCCAAGGGTTGAGGGGGGATACATCAGCTTTTCTGGGGCCCCTTGGCTTGGCCTCAGGCTGTCTTCATCATCATCACACAGGGGACCTGATGGTTGCCCTGAGCAAACTGAGAATGGAAAGAGGTTTCCTGCAGTCTCTTCTACACCCCAGTTCCCTCATTTCCCCAGCCTCTCTGGGGCAGAGGAGAGACTCAAAAATCCCCCTCCCCAACCCCCAGATTCTCTGTGAGTTGGAATACTAGGGAAGGCTGTACTCTCTCAGGCCCCTTATAAAACTAGAGATTCCTTCCTTTGGGGCCAGACTTGCCTCCTTCAGCCCCCATTGCAGTGAAAACAGTCCTGTGAGTTATCCATTGAGTGTCCAAAGTCCAGTGGACAAGATTCTGGGGGTGTGATGGTGTTGCTGAGGGCACCTGGAACCTAGGGAGTGACGGTGGGGAGGGATAGCCAAGGTGGTCTTTCCTCCAGGAGGCCTCCCTGATCAGCCCCCACTCCCCTCCCTACTGGCTGTTGGGCACCTACAGATTTGGGGAGGGGTGTGAATGGACCAGTGGGGGCTGGGCTCTCAGAGCTTAAGTCTGGGGGGAGGGGGAGCAGGAGGTCAGGGTCCTGGCTTCTGGGATGGGAGTGGGGGCTGAGCAAGGGCAGGGTCATCACTGGGTCTGCTGTTTATTCAACTTACCATCAAACCTAGAGGGCAGGAGGTAACATGTCCTTGGCTGGCTGGGGGCCTCTGCTACCTGAGGTCAGGGGGCCACCCTCTCCCAGGACAGAGCTTCATTCCCTAAGAAGTTCAACCAGTTAGTCTTGGAGTCAGCCCACTTTCAAAGCTCAGACATCACTTACCTTGCCTGTGCAGACCTAGGTATGCTCACACAAGGACATAGAAACTGAGCTGCATTTGGCGCCCATGCCCGCAAAGCCTCGAGTGCCCACACACACACCGCACATGCACACACACGTCCACAGCTTTTCACATGCACTCACCCACAGGCACGCTCAAACACGCACACAGATGCTCACCCAGTCATCCTTGTACACTGAAGCCTGCCCACACACACCATACTGCCCATTCTTGGTCAGGAAGTGGGGGGTCCTAGGTCAGGGTCACAACCCAGCCTGCGTCTGGCACTGAGGGTGAGGTTTGAGGTGTGGCAGTGACCACGGGTGCTCCAGGGGGCTGGGCCACACTGGGAGGCGGGCTCTGCCCAGGCATTCACCGGCCATCCTGCTCTCCCGGGCCAGACCCCAGGCTGACCAGGACTCCGTGTGGGGGAGTTGGGGATGAGGGGGAGGGACCATGTGAGCTGTGCCGACACTGTTTGTGGCCGCCGCTGCAGAGGAGGAAGTGGGCTGCCTGTGGTCATGGGGCCAAGGTGCTCGCAGGTGGATGGGGGTCCAGTCAGCCCCTCTGTCCCCCGTAGCATCCATGCCTGGCGGAAGCGGAGTTGCTGGGCTCTGGCAACCGGGAGGCAAGCAGGATGCTTCTCCCAGAGTGGTGTGTGCATTTTCCAAGGCCTGGGCCCAGGGAGAGGCCTGTCCATCCGAGGTGTTTCCGGAGGCTCACTTCCCCTGCGCTGCCCAGGAAGTGGTTTCAGAGTGGGACTGACCAGCCCTCTGTCTGTGGCCTGCCCCGCCCTGGCCTTGCCTGTGAGGGGAGCAGCGCCTGGCCAGTGGGTTAGGCTGACTGACCAGGCTTCCCACTGCCAGGGCTGACTAGGCCTTGCCGGAGGCCCAAGGAGAGGGCTCGGGGGCTGAGGCCATGACCTCCCCTGTAGCCCCCAGAACCCCAGCTCCGCCTTCCCTCCGAGCTCTACCCTGAGGCTCAGAGCACTGACTCTGGCAGGCGCAGCCGCCTTGTGTGAATTGGCATCCGCTGGGTTGCGTCTCTGGCATCAGGCAGCCCCGAGCAGCCATATGAATGAACCTGGGCAAGTGGCTTTGGGGCCTGGTGCCTCATTTTTCTTCTCTGACAGATGAGACAACGATAGCATCCATCTTCATGGGCTGGTGCCGGAAACTACAGATAATGTATGCAAAGCAGCTAGCTTCGTGCCTGGCACTTTATTAGTGTTTAAAGAGTAGAAACTATAGTTATGTAAAGCACTTAGCACTCGGTTTGTGGTAACTATCCCCAAAAAACAGCAAGTGGTCTTGATTATGGGGTTATTACTGTCTGAAGACCTGGACACCTGCTCAGTGTCACAGGGCCAGGTGGCCGCACAGCCCGGCTAAGAAGCCAGGTCTCAGGCTCCTTCATTCCCCCTTGTGTCCGCCTCCGAGGGGCAGTCCTGCAGGGCGGGGAGTGTTCTATCCATGTCCTCTGAGGAGAAGAGCTCCGGGGTGGAGCAGCTGTGCCCACTCAGCAGCCCAGCCCCCTCGCTCCCTTTCAAAGGGAGAAAAATAGATCTCATGACAAATGGATGCAGGGAAGAGAAAGGCAGCTGCCTGCTGCCCCCTCAGGCCTCCCCTGGGCCCCTTCCCCCACCATGGTCCCCCGCAGGACGCTGGGCTTGGAGAAGCTGAGGCTGGCGGTGAGGGGTGGATGGTGAGCCCTCCTGCCAGCCTGCCTACCCTTCGGACCCCTGGAGTCCGCCTGTGAACTGGGAAGGGGGTGGATATCCGGGGCTAGAAATTCCCCCTGCACACATATCCCTACATACATCCTTGACACCTGGCAGCTGGTGGCAGGGACCTGCCTTCCTGGGGACATGCAGAGGGTCAGCCCAGGGAGGGGGAGGCCCTTTGCTATCCAGGGCCAAGAGGCTGGGGGCCTCGGGTGTTGGTGTGATAATGATGGTGGTAGAGTAGGTAAGGGCCAGGAGACTGGAGGGAGGGAGAGGGGCAGGGGCCTGGGCTAGAAGTGTGGGTGAGGGCATGCTGGAGATTGAGGAGCAAGACCTCTGCAGGCATCAGACAGACCTGGGTTCGAATTCTCACTTGATATTTACTGGCTGTGTACCCTTGAGCCAGCGACTGGACTGTTTTGAGCCTCTGTGGCCTCATCTATGCAATGGGCATATCAGGGAGTTTCCATTTGAGACCTGAATGATAAGGAGCCAGGCTGTGTTTCAGGGGAGGGGGCAGGAAGACGGAACAGCAAGTGCAGAGGCTCCTAAGCAGGAAGGAACCTGGCTGCTTAGGGAACTGAAAGGGGTCACTGTGGCTGGGGCAGAGGAGTGAGGGGAGGGCAGTGGCCAAGGAGGTCAGGGAGGTAATGGGAGCAGCTTGGGTGGGTCAGCCCCAGGAGAGGCGTCTGGGCTTACTGGAAAGGGAGTGACGAGATCTGCTTTAGTCCCTGGGGCAGAGGGGCTGTGGGGCCGGATCAGAGGAAGGAAAGCAGGTGGGTGCAGATCCTGGGGAGGGTGATGGGGATAGGATGGGGGCAGTGGTGGAGAGAAGAGAAGAGACAACTTCAGGACAGAACTGAGAGTGGTACCCCGTGGGGAGGAAGCGTCCTACCCTCCCCACACCTCCACAGCGTCTGGCCCTGCTAGGAGATGAGGTGGCATTTGCTTGGGGAACACCAGGAGGCCTGCTTCACATGTGTTTGAGTGGCTCTAGAGCCTGATGAGGCTGGGGAGGCAGGGGGGGCCCACAGGCAGGCCTGGAGTTGGGGGGCCTGGGCCGAAAGCGGAGACCCGAGAGTCAAGAGGTAGCAGGCAAGCCTGGGCTGGGGAGGACGGGGTTCGGTGGGTGTTTGGTAGGGAAGTTCGAGAGGCCCTGGACACAGGGCTGGGATGGTTGTCCCTCGAAGGTCCCTGCCAAGGTGTCCAGGAGGGCAGGCTTGTGGTGGCTGAGCCACTGTTTTCACAACAGCGCCGGAAGCTTTGGGTCATGTCACCGGCTTGTTGGGTAAACAGGCACAGCAGAGCGGCTGGATCAGCTGTCTGCTTGATGTGGGGCCAGGGCGGGGGGTGGGGGGAGATAAGAGGATTGCAGGGGCTTCCAGTACTGGGGCTGGAGAAAGCTTTGGGTTCTCCATGGTTAAGACAGGGAGACTGAGGCCCTGAGAGAGACGGCAGCCAGCCCAGGGCCGGCCGGGGGTCTCAAGCTGCCTTTGCCCAGCCCGGTCTCTTCCCAGAGCAGGGCACTGCAGGGTGGGAGGCTTGAGAGAGCCCCTTTACCCACTGATCCAAGGAAGTTTGGGGGTACCTGTGGTGACAGGATGACTGGAAATGGGCAGTGGGGCAGGTGGGGAGAGGGCCAGTTAAGAGGATGGCGGTGGCGATAAGGATGATGGTCTTGCACTCAGCCCAGCCTGCTAGGCAGGGCAAGATCATTCCCTTTTACAGCCGAGGACGCCAGAGCACCTTGGCCAAGCTCGCAGGGCACCGAAGGCAGATCGGGTCTGAACTAGACCTGTCCAGCCCACACCCAGACCCCCACTCCTAGGTTCCCATGTTCACTGCCTGCCGTGGGATGGCACACCCCGGCAGTGCCTCTCTCCCAGCTTCTCCCCGTCCCTAGAGTGGGGAGGTGTGATCTGGGTCCTGCTCACCTTGCGGGGACGGGCGGCAAAAGCCTTCGGTGGCCATCTCACCTTTTCCCAAGCAAAGATTGTCAACCATGGGGAGAACCACGGGTACAGAGGGACAGGGTGGAGGAGCAGACTTGGGGCTGCCCTCTGTGGAGGCTGGCGGAGAAGCCATTCCCATGCCCAAGCACACACCATTGCCCTCACCCCACAGGAGGCAGGTGGCCAGTTCCAGGTTTAGAACTGGAGGGTCCCGCTCTGCCTCCCCCTGGGGCTGCCCCATCGGCTTTGTGGTTTTGGGTGAATTGCTCCATCTCTCTTTGTTACGTTCTGCCCAGTGAGTCTGGAGCTCAATGGAGGTCATGTGTGGGGTGCCTGGCATGGCTGTCCTACCCGAAACAGGTGTACGCCCTCCCCTTCTCCGGCGTCCCAGGCCTGTGACCGCCACTTTTGACCCCTAGCCTTGTCCTCGGCCTCCGCCGTCCCCTCAGACAGGTGGGGGGGGAGGCCTGCCCAGCTATGTGCCTGACTGGCCCACTCCTTCCCGTGTGCACTTTGGACTTTGCTCTGGGCCAGGAAGGACTCTCTCTGCCTCCCTCAGCGGGGACACCCAGCCGGCCCGACACCGGCTGCCCTTCCCTCCTTAGCCATTACCCCCAAGGGCTGTGCTAGAAAAAGCTCCATCTGGACCTCCCTGGTACCAGCGCCTAGTCAGATGCGTGTGGGTCCTTCCAGGCTCGTGCGCTTGTGCCCGCGTCAGCCTGGAGCATCTCTGCCCGTGTGTACCTTGTGCTCGTGGTGTGCCGTGTGCAGCTGGAGCTCCCTGTGGTGGGGAATGCGTGAGGGTGTCAGAGTCCTGGGTGGCCTGCGTGGGCCTGGATGTCTGTCAACGTGTGGGGGGGGAGCAGTGTTTCTTAATGTGTGTCACTGAGTCATCGTGCCTGTGGTTACGACCGTGCGCGCGCGTCCAGCTGCGAGCAGGGTTCCCCATGTGTGACTGTGTTTGGGCTGGCGGGTGTGCCCATGTGTGCGCACATGTGTGGTTATTCTGGGAGAGGCCCCCGTGTACCCCCCAACCCAGCTCCTCACAGAGGCCCCCTTGTCCTCAGTCCTACCACGAAGGGGCCTTCGTTCCTCCCTCGGGGGTACCTGGAGCCCTCCCTGTGGCTGACCCTGGGGCTTCCCCAGCCCTAGGACTAGCTGAGTGACTCAAGGCCTGGGCCTGGTGTGGACTCTGCCCCCAAGAGGGCCTGTCCTCCCCGCGCCCCCTACCGCGTGCTGGCAGGAGTGAGTGTGAGCCCATGACAGCTGGTCCCAAGTCCTGCCCTCGGACTCTTCCAGCCCCTCAGGCCAGGTGGGCCAGCCTCACCCCTGCATGCCTGTCAGATTGAAGCCCATCCTGATCCCCACTGCACCCCAGCTCCTCTCGCTCCCTGCCTTGTACTTACTGCCTGAGCAGCACTCACATCGCTCTCTAGGTACACGTTTATGTGACTGACTGTCCCCCACTGAGCTGTGAGTCCCATGGCCCCGTGCATCTTGTCACTGGTGCCTGCCGGCGGGGCCTTCGGAACTTACAGCCCCCCAGCCCATCGTGTGTGGAGTTACATCGCCACCAGTGCGTGTTTTCCTCGGAAGAGGGCCCGAGTCCTTCACTGGTTCTCAGGGTGTCGCCCCCCCTCTTGTGAGTGCAAAGGCTTCATTCGCGCTGCCCAGGCCTCACCTGTGATTCCCACTGGATCCCAGTGGGCTGGGCCAGCCCAGCAGTAGGATTTTTGAATGTCTCCTCAGGGCATTCAGATGTGTGGCCAGGGCTGAGAAGCCTGAGCGGGGGACAGAGACCATGCCCAGAGAACAGACCCGGGTGCTCAGCATGAGCTTCCCAGCAACTGCACAGGGTACCTGGCGGGGGGGGCGGGGAGGGAGAGAAGGGGTATATGAGGTGGGGGAGCAGTCGGCTTCCTGGAGGAGGGAGGAACGATTCCCCAGGGATGGCCTTTAGAACTGTCTGGAAGGATATATAGGAATTATGGAGGACATGCTGGCTGAGGGAATAGCATATGCAAAAAGAGGGGGCTTGAAAGAGACCGGAGTTCACAGAGCAGCCAGAGGTGAGGTCCGAGGTGGAGAGCAGGCCAGGGCCAGACTGAGGTCTGGGCTTTCTCCAAGGGCAGTGGGAGCCCAGGAGATTCCATGGGTTGGGGAGGGACCAGGAGTGGTAGCAAGTGGGAGGGGTCACTGGGGAAAAGGAGGAGAGTTCACTGCAGTGGGTTGGTCTGTGTGGTATGAGGGCGGGGGCAAGAAGGAGCACCGCGAGGGGATGAGGGGCTAGTCCTGGGGAGGAGCAGGTGTCGGGAGCATCCCCTGCTCTGGGACTTGGCCATGACCTGAGACCATAGTTGGGCCTCCTCCCAGGACAGGGCTGGGCATATGGAGGCTGGGGCACAGGCCCCGGTGGAAGGGCATTAGAAGGGCCTTGCTAGCCCTTCCGCTCCCCCACCTCCTGCTCTTCTTGCTGAGCCCATTTCCTGGGTTGTGAAACCCCTGTGGCCTCCTTGACTTGCTTCTGTCTGGGAAGGCCATCTGGGGAGGCCAGACTCCCTGTCAAGCCAGGCCCCCTTGCCCTGTTGCAGCTCTGCCCGAGCCAGCCCGGCTCCCTCCTACTGATCACACTTCCTCTCGCTCTCCTTCCCTCCCACTCTCTGGGCCTCATGTGTCCTCCCTCCTTCATTCATCCTTCAAGGCCCATGTGGGCTGGACATTGAACTCCCCCCTGGTGATGCTGCCCTCACCAGCCAGCCTTGACAGGCAGCAGGTGGTCCTTCCACGGGCAGGCGGCAAGGGCTGGCCCCAAGGTTGGGCAGGTATGTGTGAGGAAAAGTTGCATGGGAGGGGTGCATCTTCCACCCCCAAGGGTCTGTTCACGGAAGAGCAGACCCAGCAGGTGCCTCAGCTTTGCTGGCTGGCTTGCTTTGCTTGACCTCAGCCTGCCCCAGCAGACTTTCTAAGAGAGCCTCCCTCCACATTTGCACACACTCCCCGAGAGCCTGGCCAGGTCTGTCTTCTCAGGGCCCCACTTTGCTCCTCTGTCCCACCCTGTGGCCTGTGAGGCAGAATCCCATGCCAGGGAAGGGCTGGGGTCAAGGGGACCAGGTTGGATCTGGGGGCCTGGGGACTCTCACCGAAGGACCTTGCCCTTGGTTTCCACGTCCCTACGAAGAGGAGATGTGCATGTTAGTCTCTAAAGGCCCATCTCTTGGATACATTTTGACTTGTTGGGTTTTATTTTTCACCATTTATAAAACTATTATCAAACAAGTTACACGTGATTGCTGTAGAAAAATTGGGAAATACATTTCTGTTCCTGATGGCACCCCTCAGGCCACGTCTCCCACCCCACCCCCTTTGCTGGAACACACTCACGTGCATATATGTGGAGACGTGCAACATGCACACTTGTCCTCTGTGCCCTGGGAGCTCCAACCATCAGGGTCACTCTGGCCACCTCAAGGTTGGCCGTGTCCAACTTGCCCTGAGCTGGCCGGGAACAGGTTTCCATTGCCCTGGAGGAGGCGACCTGCCTGCTCTGGTCCCGCCCAGCACTACCTTTCCTTACCTCTGGGTGGCTCGTCTAGGGCGGGGAGGGGCGGGTGGGGGCAGAGTCTGTGGGCCCTCATGCCCTGGGACTGGAATCTAGAATAGCCAAGCCTTCCCCAGGTTTTAAGCAGTAGAGGCTGGCCCAGGGGGCCGGGACAGGAGGGAAGGGAGCAGTTCAGGGGTTAGTATCATCCTCGTACAGAGAAGGAGGAGGTCCTCAAGGTCAGGCCTAGGACCAGCCCACAGGGGGTTGGGTGAACAGACTCTCGTTGAGCACCAGGAGACCAGTGCCCGTACCCCTCTCTGTGGTTCCTCTGTCCTGTGTTTGTGTGTGTTGCTCCTGGCATGTCTCTCTGTCTCTACCTTTGCTCCCTCTTTCCCTTCATCAGTTCTTCCTGGCATGGCGTACTGGAAAGAACATTGGCTGCAACATCAGGCAGGCCTGGATTCCAATCCTTCTACCACTTCCTGGCTGTGTGACCTTGGGCAAGTCACTTAGCCTCTCTGCACCTGTTTACTCATCAGTAAAATACCCACTTCCAGAACCAGCACGGGATGGAGTGAGCTAATGCCGTGATGAGGTTAATCTGGTATGTGTTGGCCTCAGGGAAGGATGATCCTTCTTGTAAGTGGGGGTGCTGAGACTCACCCCCAGATCCTCTGACTCTGGCTGGTCCTCCCTGCTTCGTAGAGCTGCCTCTGGAGAAGCAGAACGGTAGAGATCCAGAGCCCACTGATGGCTGGGAAAGGGCTGGCTGGCCTCAGCTGGTCCCCATGGAGGCCCGTGGGAAGTGTGCCCTTGCCCCCTCCGTGGCCCTGCAGAACAGCATGAAGCTGAGCCAGTGGCCTCCCTTTGGGGCCTGTGGGCCTGGGCCTATTTGCATGGGGGCTATAAATAATCGGCGCATCTTGCTTTTGTGCCGTTTCTTCACTCCCTGGTTTCCCCACCAGTGTTCAGACTCTGCGAGGTAGATGGGCAACGCAGGCTCCGCTGTGAAGGGGGGGCACTCGGTGCGCAGGGCCCGAGACCTCTCCCAGGGTCACGTGGTGATGGAAGAAGACGCCGGCGCGCGGTGTCTCTCTCCCTCCTGGGGTCTGGGCAGGGCAGTTGGGCAGAGGTTTAGTCTAGGAAGTTGGGGCTGGGTGACCTAACCCAAGGGTCACTGCCAAGTAGCCCCAGGGCAGCCCACGGAACACCTGGGTCCCCCTCCTCATGGCACTGTGGCCTGGCTGTACGGGTTTGGGGCCAGAGTTGGGGCTTGCCGTGGTTGTGGTTTCCTTCCAGTGGCTTCTAACTGAGTAGCAGCTGCTCTGCTCACCGAGAGCTGGAGGGCAGGTCTGACTGGCAGCCTGCGGGGCTGGGCTCTGCCTCCCATTCCCGGGGCTTCTCTGATTCCGTCTCCTCCATGCAGCCCCGGGGCGGTCCTCACAGATAGCTCTTGCTGGGCGACCTAGAGGTGGGAGGGGTCATGGAGTCCGAGGACCACCTGGACTGGGCCCCAGGGGGAGGCCTTGGGGAGGCAGCTTGACCACTTGGCCAAAATGACCAGATCGTTTTGCCGCCTGGGCTACCCTGACCCCCTCTCTCCCAGGAACTCAGGTCCCCTGCACATGACTATTGCTCCTTTTTCCCTGCCTGCCCCCTCAGCCCTCATCCTCTGAGACATTCAGAGAGCCCATTAGTGCCCCACCCGGGTCTCAAGATTATCCTGTTGGGAAGCACGAAGCCCAGCCATGTCTGCTGGGGTCAGGCCCTGGGATTGTGGATGCAAACTTGTGGCAGGTGTGTGTGGTGCAGCGGCCCTGCTGATCATTCTGGAACCCCCAGGGAGAACTCCGCACCTTGGAACCCCAGGCCCAGCAGGGTGGCAGGAGGGGCATGGTGTCCTTTTTGGCCTGAGAGTTTGGAACACTCACCCGGACTCCTACACCCAGCAGCCAGGCCCGTGCAGCTTGCCCTTGTCTTCCACGTTAGCTCAGTGCCCCCACGTGCCACTCACACGTCCTCGCAGGCCCACGCCCGCACACCTTCCTACACACCATCTCACGCACTCCACGTGCTCGAGCCCAGGGAGGAGCTAGCAGCCGCCCACAGCCCGCTCCTCCCCGCTGCCGACCAAGAGGTCATGGTAGCTGGCTTGGCTGGTCTTAGGCTGAAGGCTTTGGGACCTGGGCTCCCATGTGAGCTTACACACCCCCTGTTACTCCCGCTGAGGCGGAGCCAGGCCTGGACACGGTGGGGTCTGCCTCGCCCGGCCCCTCCCCTCTCCTCTGGCTGCTGGCCGCGGAGGGCTGGTGGGGCCCCTGGGCTGGGCTGCAGGCTGAGGTCAGGGTTTCCTGTGAGCTCATCTAGGCAGGGAACAGCAGAGCCCGCTGTTCCTCCGGCTGCCTGTGGAGGAGCTGGGGGAGCCATCCCAGGGGCTGGGGGGCTGCTGCGTGTGCACATGTGTGTGTGGGTGGCTGGGGGTGCGTGTGTGAGACCACCGCCGTGCTGGCTTCTGCTCGGGAAGGAGTGAGCACACACCCGTGTGCGTGTGCGTGTGCGTTCATCCAACCACACTTACGGAGCGTCCTCGTGTGTGCAGCCCAGAGCCAGCGTGCATGTGCACCCATGGGCTTGCTCGTGTGACCATCCTCCGGGAAGGACAACCCAGAAGACCCTCAGGGTCGCCTCCTCTAGTGAGCCTTGATCTGAGGAACAGCGAGGAATAGGGGAACATGGGGCTGACCTGTGCAGTCTAAAAAACAAAGTCATTGTACGTTCAACTTTAAAATAGTTTTATGTTTGGAAAAAATTAGTTTGAGAGTGCAGGCAATCTCTGTAGGTGAGAGGCACCTGCCCCCAAGGGGCGGAGGTTCAGAAGGTGAGGGATGTGGCTGGGCCCTTTCACTGCCCTGCTCCCTGAATGGAGTGGGTGCTTTGTTTTTTTTTGTTTGTTTTTGTTTTTTGTTTTTTTAAGATTTTATTTATTTATTTGACAGAGAGAGACACAGCGAGAGAGGGAACACAAACAGGGGGAGTGGGAGAGGGAGAAGCAGGCTTCCCGCTGAGCAGGGAGCCCGATGTGGGGCTCGATCCCAGGACCCCGGGGTCATGACCTGAGCCGAAGGCAGATGCTTAACCGACTGAGCCACCCAGGCGCCCCTGGAGTGGGTGCTTTGTGAGTGGAATCTCGGCTTTAGGCTTTGGCTCAGCCTCGGGCTTTTGGTTTCTCATTCTGAAAAGTGGGGATGGTCATCTTGGCCCTGTCGGTCTGCGTGCGTAGTTATGAGCAAACTTTGCACCCAAGAAGGGCTGCAAGGAGCAGGGTGCAGGGAGGTAGGGTTACTGTCCTGCCCGTCTTGGCCGGCACATGCTGGGTACCTGGGCCGGGGTAGTGCACACAGTGGGGTATTAAGGGAGGCCTTAAATGACCCCCCAAATAAATGACCCGGAGTCACAGACTCCCACCTCCAGGGCCCAGGAAGGGTTTGGAGAGGAGTGAAAAGGGGGCCCCTGGCCTGGAGTAGACTGGTAGGTACTCAACAAAGGGGGCCGTACCAGCCAGCTTCTGCCCAGTGGGCTTGACGTCACATCCAGCAGTCTTACCAGGGATGCCACAGATCCAGACTTCTAGAAAACTTCTCAGGTTTCCCAATGGCAACTAGAACTAGTGTCTTGTCAGCACACCATGGGGGCCAAACTCAATGCGGTGAGAGCCCCTGGGGGCACCCGAGCACCTCCCAGGGCCGTCCCTCACTGCCCGGCCTCACCCCTTCTGTCTTGGCAGCCCCACTGCAGGCCCCTACATGGCACCGTTCCTGCGCATCGCCTTCACCTCCTATGAGTTGGGCTCCCTGCAGCCCACCGATGAGGCCAGCCAGCCCTTCTGTGCTGTGAAGATGAAAGAGGCGCTCAGCACAGGTAGGACTGGGAATTGGGGCCCAGTAAGAGGCCCTGGAGGGCCTGTGCTTTGTTCCTCTAGAACTTCTGAGGGATCCTTCTCTTCCTCATGCTCCTCTCCCTGCCCAGCCCTGCTCTGGATGCAGGACCGTAGGTAGAGGCCACCGAGCGCCCATAGAGCCCCCAGCACTGGCTCCCTCCCCCCACTGGTGGTTTCACCCAACAATTTCCTCACGTCCATCTGTGTCGGACTCTGTGCTGGGCCCTGAGGACACTGCCATGCTCCAGGGCTGACTTGGCCCTGCCCTCATGGGGCTCATGTTCAGGTGGGCAGGTGTGGGAGCCAGACACTGAGTCCTGTGATAGGGAAGCCCAGAGCTGGGGTCAGGGAGGTCTTCCTGAAAGAGGTAAATATCTCCCACCATTCCTTCTGGCTTTTGCCCTCACCTGCTGAACCCCTGACTCATCCCTTAGGTCATAGCTGAGCTGTCCTTTCCTCCAGGAAGAATTCCCTGTCCCTTAGGCTGGGGCACATCAGCTGACCATGACCCAGACCAGGTCTAGAACCCTGGCCCTGCCTTCTTCAGTCTCATCCCAGCTGTGATTTAATGTTTACTTGAGGGATTAATGGGCTCGTGTCTCTGTCCTGGACTGGGCTCTCAGGGGACGGGCACTGGTTTTAACTTCTCTTTCTGCCGTGTTCCTCACCTCCAGTGCCGTGGCTGGCATGAGGGGCCTCGGTGTGTGTTCACTGAGTGAGTGCACGAGGGGAGGTGACAGCTAAGTGGGGCCAAAGGACGAGGGTCACAGGACCAGGGAGCAGCAGGACCTAGGTGGGACCTAGCGGGACATCCTAGAGGAGCTGCTGACAATTCCGTGTTCTGGAGTGTTAGCAATGACGTGAGGCTGGAGAGGTGAGCAGAGCGCAGTTGTGAAGGCTGAGGAGTGGAAATAGCCTCAGGAGGGCCCTCGGGGGGTGGGGAGCCAGGCCCACTCTCCGGGCTGAAGGCTGTAGGGAGTCGGGGGAGGGTGGGACAGAGGGGCCCCAGCCAGACCTTTGCCTGGCCGTGTTGCAGAGCGCGGGAAGACGCTGGTGCAGAAGAAGCCCACCATGTACCCCGAGTGGAAGTCCACATTCGATGCCCACATCTACGAGGGCCGTGTCATCCAGATCGTGCTGATGCGGGCAGCCGAAGAGCCGGTGTCCGAGGTGACGGTGGGCGTGTCGGTGCTGGCCGAGCGCTGCAAGAAGAACAATGGCAAGGCCGAGTTCTGGGTGAGGGCGCGCGGGCTGCAGCAGCGCACGCATGTGTGTGGGGTGTGGGCGCACGGGCTGCAGTGGTGCGCGCGCACGTGTGCACGGGGCGTGGGTGAGGGCGCGCGGGCCGCAGTGGCGCGCGCACGTGTGCACGGGGCGTGGGTGAGGGCTCGCGGGCCGCAGTGGCGCACGCACGTGTGCGGGGCCTGTCTGGCCTCCTGAGCGGCTGTGCAGCTGATACCAGCCCTGTGATTGATCGGTCCCAGCCCCTCTGAGCCTGTGTGCGAACCCGTAAGGGAAGCCAGGAAAAGACCCTACCTCAGGGTCAGTTGTTCAGGGGAAATGAGCCCCTGGATGCCAAGGGCTTACTGGAGTGCTGGGCACATGGTAGGTGCTGAAGAGAGCCACCCTCGCTACGGCGACTACTTTTTTCCCTTTTAGTTTCGTAGAAGCAGGATAGGCACATAGTAAGACATTGCAAAATGTACGTAGGGGGATTCCTGCCCCCGCCCCCCCCGCCAGGCGCCAGGCACCCATTGTTGCGAGTTCTGTTTGGAACCTTCACCGATATTCCAGGTGCAGGCAGGAGGCAGCACAGTTATGTGTCTTCGGCAGTGAGAAGGCGGGAGGAGGGGAAGGCCGAGGGCCACTACTCCCCTGGGGGAGCCTGGCCTCCACGCGCGCACGTGGCCCTGTGTCCCTCATGGCCATAGGATGTCCGCACTGCCAGGGCATCTCTTGCCCCCTGGGGTTACATGTGGGCTCCTGCAGCCAAGATGTCCCCATGGGAAAAGATCCTAGACCCTCAGGGACTCTGGTCAGCCTCCAGGGAGGCATGAAGGGACCAGGCCAGGAGAGAAGTTGACCCAGGGCTGTACCAACCCTTGGCGGGTCAGGCAGAGATACTTGCTGTGCTCTCTGTCCACTCCACCGAGGAACAACGTCAGGCACCAGGCGTGGGTCCTGGGCGCGGTAAAGGTCCTGCCTTCAGAACTGTGTAAGGAGACTGGGCGTGCAGAGCCCCCGCCACAGAGAGCACCGGCGTGGGGTGTCAGCATGCATGTGTCTGTGCCTCTGCATCTGCAGGGGCTGGGGAGGGGGCTCTATTCTAAGATCCTTGGGCAGCCAGGGGAGGGGGTGGGGAGTTTCCCTTCCCACTCTGTTCCTGGGCCATGTGGCCGGGCTGGGTGTGGGCTGGATCCTTTCACTTCCCCAAATGTAATAATACCCCTGGGGTGGGGGTGAGGGCAGGGCTCAAGGGCGGGGCCATGCCCGCAGTGGGCAGACAGGTGTCTGGCTAGGCTGCCAGGACTCCCTTGGGCTTGGGGGACCAACCATGGGGGCGGGTTCTGAGTCCAGCTTGGCTGGAGCCCGCCCTCATTGATGCCCCCCTCCCCCAACCCTCACCCCTGCAGCTGGACCTGCAACCCCAGGCCAAGGTGTTGATGTCTGTGCAGTATTTCCTGGAAGATGTAGGTAAGACCCTCCCTGGGCTGGGGACGTAGGTTCAGAGGCTAGAGCCAGGGCGGAAGCTTAGAGAAGCAGTCCCTATCAACAGTCTACCTGGAGCCACCCTGGGAGGGACTCCAGGAATGTTGTCCTTCCCCGGGGGCTGGGACTGACCTCTCATGCCTCCATGGTCCCCAGATTGCAAACAGTCTATGCGCGGTGAAGACGAGGCCAAGTTCCCAACAATGAACCGCCGTGGAGCCATCAAACAGGCCAAAATCCACTACATCAAGAACCACGAGTTTATTGCCACCTTCTTCAGACAGCCTACCTTCTGTTCTGTGTGCAAAGACTTTGTTTGGTGAGGGCTGGCTGTGCCTGCTGAGGGTGGGGTGGGGGTAGGGAGGGCCCCATAGCCAGCCCTGACCCCGCCTGGGGATTTGTCTTTCAGGGGTCTCAACAAGCAAGGCTACAAATGCAGGCGTAAGTGTCTCCTCGGCCCGGTTTGCACGCCCGCGTGCCCGCCAGCGCCCTGTGTCCCTGTGTTAGGACTGTGTGCCTGGATGGGGGCGCCCTGTGTGCTTGAGGGTGTGCGTGGAGATTCCCACGTCTGAGCGTCCATAGGAGAGCCACGTCCCGCGGGCGCACGGGCGGGCTTTGCTCTGCTCTCGGAAGCCAGTTCCCTGTGTCGCTTCCCCGCCCCTCACGTTCGGGAGCGTCACCCTGGTGGCCTGAAATGGGCCTTGGTGTCGTACGTACACAGAAATCCGCCAGTGCCACCCGTCGCGGCTCTTTTCCCCCAGACAGGCTGTTCGACCTTTTCCAGTACACCCCTGGCTGCACGCGTGCTTCTCTGGGGGTACGTGTGTGTCCAGGTACACACGTACACACCATGGCGGTGGCTCTGAACGTGGGCTCTGGAGCCAGATGGCCTGGGTTCGAATCCCAGTTCTGCTGCTTCCTACCTGGAGGGCCTTAGGCAGAATGACTTAATCTCTCTGTGCCTCAGTAAAATAGGGATAGTAACCATTATGAAGATCAAATGGGATAAAACATATAAAGCTGCATTTTAGGTGACAGGCACATAGTAACAATTCTATACAGAGAGCCCACTGTCGTTATTATGCATCAGTACGTATGTCCCAGGGTCTTTGGGTTGGGGGTGTGTGTGTTGGGTGTGTGTGTGTGTGCAGGAGCATGAGAGAGAGCTTGGGACCCGTTTGCTGTCCTGCCTGTGGTCCTCTTGTGGCGACACTCCATGCCCCTCACTGCTGCCCCCCAGCTGCCCACTAGGCCCCCTCGAGACTTCCCTAATCTCTGAGATCCTCCGGATTGGCCTGTCCTCCCTGCCACTATTCTTCCCAGGCCCGTCCTGCCAGGGCAGGCAGGAGGAGAGGAAAAGCAAGCTGTGGGCCCCAGGCCTGTGTGGGGTGAGGGGGTGGGCGGTCAGGGAGAACAGTGGCTTTGTAGAGGAGGGCTGGACTGGCCCAGTGGCGCCAGCTCACAGCCCTGCCCCTCCTGCTGCCTTCCCATCCCCCTCCTGGCCTGTGCCTCCTCAAGAATGCAACGCGGCCATCCACAAGAAATGCATCGACAAGATCATCGGCCGGTGCACGGGCACTGCAGCCAACAGCCGGGACACCATAGTGAGGCCGGGCCCCGGGGGCGGGGCCGGGGGGGGCGGGGCCACCTGGGAGGGATTCTCCCCAGCCTTTCACCGTGGAGCTCACCCTTCTCCCCATTTTTCCTGGTCCATCCTGAGACTTCTGGATTGCCCAGTCCCCAGTGGAGCCCTTTTGGGTATCTTGCCATGCATGGGGTTGGGGGAGAGCTAGGGGTTGAGGAAGGAGCTGACGCTGGCCTGTGACCCTCAACCTGTGACCGCCCCGCTCCCCCAGTTCCAGAAAGAACGTTTCAACATTGACATGCCGCACCGATTCAAGGTTTACAACTACATGAGCCCCACCTTCTGTGACCACTGTGGCAGCCTGCTCTGGGGGCTGGTGAAGCAGGGATTAAAATGTGAAGGTGCGTGCTCCCCAGCTCTGGGGGCTCGGACAGGGCAGGAGGGCCCTGCCCGCTGGCGCCGACCCACCCAGACCGCGTAAACTCCGACTAACTAATGTAGCCGTGGCTCCGTGGCTGGAGGAGGGGGGCTCGGTGGCCCCTCTCCGCTGGCCCCACCACGTCTGCCTCTCCCGGTTACCTGTTGTGTGACCAGGCGGCCCCACCCCTCCGAGCTCAGTGTCCTCATGAGTAAGGTAGGGTCAGAGTCGAGTGGGGCCCAGAGAGCCGTGAGGGGCAAGCAGACAGGTGTTCAGCCGAGACCTGACGCACACTAGCAGGTGCTCAGCAAACGTGCCTCACAGACCCCCGCCCCCTCCCCACGCTTTAGCGAGGCGGAAACAGGAGACCCCCTAGAGGGAAAGTGACTTGTCTAGGTTGTCCTAGACATTCTTTAAAGGGTTTAGAATCAGACCTCATAGCTTCTGCTTTTGCTTTTTCTTCTTTAAATAATGAAAAATTAGAAGTGCTCATGGTGCTTCAGATGCATTTTTTTCTAAAGACAGGAAACCCAGCAGACCCCACCAAAGGTCTGCTTCCTCCTACTTTCTCCTCCCCTCCTCCCTGCCCTTGGCTGAGCCTGGGGGAAGGGGGACAGTTCTTCCGGAGCCTGCTGGTGGCCTGCCTGGTCCTGTCTGAGCAGGGGCCCTGATGGCCCTGTCTACTTCCCCCCAGACTGCGGCATGAATGTACACCATAAGTGCCAGAAGAAGGTAGCCAACCTCTGCGGCATTAACCAGAAGCTCCTGGCTGAGGCATTGAACCAAGTGAGCCAGGTGGGCAGGCACTGTGGGAATCCTGGCGGGGGGTGGGGGG